TAATCCTTAGAAACATTTCGACTGAAAGTGGGATCTTTTTCTCCTCGTATTGGACGAGTGTTCTACCTTTGAATCCTGCTTGTATGAGATTTACCGCAGCGTTCTACGTTGGTACGTGAGCTACGTTTAGGTTCAATCCTTTCGCGTGACATGACAAGTAACAGCGTTCTTTTTTCATCAGGAACGGATATCCACAATGAAGGGAGTGTTGAGACGGACGGTATCAAGTAACACGACATGAGAGCTGGAGAGCGGAAACGATCTACGCGGATATAGCTCCCCGTACGGACGTCAACGTCGACGCGAAAGCGCGACTGGATAGTCCTCACAAGGACAAGGAAACCAGAAAAAGGAAACGATGTGAGTTCCATCGACGCCGTGCTTTCACGGTGGATTTTCGAAGCGGAAAACTAAGAAGGAAAAGGCGCTGAGTCCGACGTGAGGAAAGCAAGCGAATACGCTTTCGAAGGATAAAAAGGGGAATAAGAGAATATTTGACCCCTAGCATATATATATATATATATCCTAAAAAGAACACGATGCTCTTATGTGTTATTACCACAAGATTACCATAAAAACTCTCCTAAAATCCTGACACCTTCAAATAACAGAATGGAAATGTTAATAAAAATGAGAAAAATAATATAAAATATATATGAGAAAGTTGATTAAAAGAAGATTTTCTCGATAGTATAATAAAAAGAAAAAGGAAATAATAATTCATAGCATTTTTTTTCTTTATTCCCTTCAACTTTATTCTTTGCGACATTCTCACGAAGCAAGATTGTCCTTATAAAATTCATTTTACGATTGCGTTTATACGCAGTGAAACAATATGATCGTGTTGCTTTGTAGATTCAGCGTAAATAAAATTACATCACGTCGGCGATATTTATATGATAGAGATACTATTTTATGGCGAAACGTCTGCCAGTTGCGTTGGTCGATCGAAAATTCTTTCGTGCATCTCGACGCTTTTCGATAATCGAAAGACGCACGCCGTTTTCCGATCGCTTGAGGCACACTTGTTCGACACGCAAACGCCGAGAAAACCGTGGTTCATAAATTCAATATCTCAATTTCAATTTTTCGCGACTTATTTATTTAAAGACGTATACATATATATACAAAATATTAAAAAGAGAGGAAGAGAGAGGAAGAGATGAGCCCGGGATGGCTGGAAAATCGAATTTCGCTCAATGTTTGCGCGCGAATTTGATTTTCATTTTACGTTGTTAATAGCCAGCTCGAACAAAGAGAGCGAACGAGAAAGGAAATTGGTCGGTAACGGTATTCAAATAGATGAAAAGCGCAACGCGACTCTCATCGCCTTTTTCTCATCCAGCCCGCAATTTCCTAAATTATCGCTTGAAATCGCGTGACGACGATCGTGAGAGTTTTTTCAATTACAGTTTCGGGCTATACAAAAACTAGTTTTCCTGCATAAATAGTTTTCATTGAATTCAAAACTGTTGCGATTTTTAATGTTGAGACTTATATTTTTTTTTATCTTTGCATCGCAAGCAATTTCAAATTTGTAATATTAATTTTAAGCCGCTTTTGAGATGCGAATGGTATATATTTTATTAATAAAAATAATTTTAATTATTCTTAATATATATATATGTAAGTTTAATTTTGATTGCTTTACTTTTACCGCCTAATTCTCTACTTTTACTAATAATAAGATTAATTTCAAAAACCTGTATAGAGTATTATTGATATATCGCAAATTTTATGAGATATTTTATAACTTGACAGTTACCAATTACAAAAGTATAGAAAGATTATATAATTTCTTCAATAAAAGATAAAACAATTTAAAATAGGTAATAACAAAGACAAAAATGAAATAGTTCTCTTATCGTTTATTTTATAAGGGATCAGAACGATCGTAATTTCGTCGCTTCTACGGCGAATTTCTTGCGACTTTACCATACTCAAAACTTCTACGTAAATGGTTCTCAACTAGACGGTTTTTACAATATTTAAATCTGTTCCAGACATATCTCAAATATGTCAGAAACAGCATTTCTACCACAAATTCCTAAATTTTTTCAACTAACCACTGCTCGTTAATTATTAACTCCTTTAAATTTATAATATTTTATACTATGCTAATAAAAAAATAAGATAATGATAAATTTATACTAATATTACTTAAAAGATTTGATAAAATTATTATTTATTTCTCATAAAAAATCTTGTTTGGTATTTTATTCGATTTACTCAAAAATCACGAAAATAGAGCGTTGAGAACGCATACGGCGTCGTTCTTTGATATTGAAGACTTGTGAGAAGTTATTTAAGGATTCTTTTCCTTCAAGCACCCTTAAGCGATGATACTTTCCGAAAAGTCCTCCAGAAAAAGTACGTTTGATTTTAGAAACGACTTCGTGTATGCTCTTAGCAACTTTGCGCTACAACTTTACGTTGCTTTCCTTGTAAGTTTTGTAACTTTTGAACTCTGCGATAACACGTACAATTTTATTAACTGCGAGGCGCGAAAATAATCAGTTAAAAAATTAAAGTACCCGCTAACCTTTGGTGTCGTTCATTGTTGAAGTTATAATGTTTACCACGCGTAAAAAACCAAAGAAAAATAATTTTGATCTTAGCGATTGCATTACTTTTTGGTTATAAAGCTTATATATATGATTAAATTATTCTGTTAATAAATGAGATTTAATACCATTAATAAACCACTATACTTATTAATATAATGCACAACGATGGAATTGTAGTACACGAGTTGATTTGTACAATACAAATATATCTTAAATATAAATTACACATATAAAGAACTCAAACTAATATTGAAATATATGAATTAAAATCCTCCAGAAGTAAAATTAAAAGATTGTAAATAAATACGCGACAACGCGAGATTATTGTATCCTGTTTACTGAAATATTTATTACTTAAATAAGTAATAAATAAGTAAGAAAAATGAGGACTTTTCCGTCTCAGTTTATTTTTACATATTTATTCATGTTGTCACTTTTTTAATGACAGCAGGCCTTAATTCTGCTATCAAGCAGAAATGTAAACATAAACTAAAGTAAACAGAATACAATAATCTCGCATTGCCGCGTATTTATTTACAATCCTCTAATTTTACTTTGAGAGGATTTTAATTCACTCTCTTTTCTTAATTTCATGTTCTATAACTTTTATCTCATAATACTTTTCGATAAACCTAGTAATCTTAGTGGTTTTAAGTTTTTTGGTGAAAAATGTTTTGTTTCTTTTTTTGCGATTTTCTTTAAAACGAAGCAAAGTTTTTCTTAATTTATCGATCTCCTACACCCTGCGAAGTTTTGACATTTAATTTTGGGACACCCTGTGTACGTATCCTGATATATATGTATATATATATATACATATATATATATATATGTGTGTGTGTCTGTGTGTGTTTGTGTATGTGTGTGTGTGTGTGTGTGCGTGCGTGCGTGTGTGTGTGTATGTGTGTGTGTGTGTGTAAGTTATTTTACTTCTTCAAATGTTTCCTGTAGATATTACACGTCATAAAATTATAAATAGAAATGTGTCTGGAATTTTTTATTGCTAATTATAAGTCGTCCAAAGCGGGCTTCATATTATATAATGATGTAAAATACATCACATTATATTGTGGAGATAAAAACAAAACAACAAGTAATAATTAATAAATTAAATAAATTATACATTTCTCATCTCATGGATACTCTGATGTTGCTTGACGCCTCTTCTTTTTTTCTTGTTCAGTTTTAGCTGTTTCTTCATGACATTTACGCAACATTTGCGACAACACGATTAATTACAATCATATACGCATGAATCAAAAAAATAAATCGAACGCGTGGCATTTTGCATTCGACACGACATTAATCACACATGACATATACTTAATTTATTATATTGGGACGGAAAGGAATAATCTGAAAATATATTATGCTTGCACAACTCTACGCTATGATTTGCTCAATACTCTATGTTACAATCTGTTCAATACTCAAAAAATGCGACTAAATTATTCAGCATTATCAATTCAAAATTAATTGGCACATTATTTAAACCTGTAGAACATTCGAAGCATGCAAAAAATAGCTTTGATGTATAGTCGTCGTCTCGATACGTTTATGAATTATCAATCGCAAAAATTAATTAATCGTGCAGACTAATAATGCCTAATTGTAAGGATTGCGTTTGACTTCTCTTAGTATTGTACTTGCCACGTTTCACGAGATACTACGAGGACGTACGGAGCATCTCACACCACTGCCTGCTCGCACGAGTCTCGCCGCGTGAATGAAAACAAAGTCATCGAACATAAACATTAGCATTCTATACATCGCAAAATTCCGCGTTCGTCTCTTGTGTTGTCGTTTCTTTTGTTATACGAATTTTGCTATTTATCAAAGTAGGTATTTGCTGTATCTTTTCAAGTAAGGATTGAAATGGTATGTAATAAGAATTACAAATTATGGATTTATTACGATTTTTACGATAATGATTTTTCTAATAACGTTTGAAAATATATTATGCATCATATTTTACATTTTTTGTCGATTTAAATATAATTTGTCAATCATTTTTGAATTAATAACGCGCGTAATAATTAAATAATACATAAATTTCAGGATTAGATGATTCAACTAACGAAAAAGAATTGTGATATACATCAGCCATTTATTGATAACTATTTCGATAAAAATTCAAGGAATATTTCGCATAAATTTATTTTACATTGTTAAATATCATATAGTAAACAACGCACAAACTAATAACAGTCACATAATGTTGAATTGATACGCCTTTTTGTTTATAACTAAACATATATAAGCGCTGTTTAGAATGTTACAATAAAACAATAAAATTAAAGAATTCAGTTACAACTCATGTTTTGTCATTCGCACGGTGAGACTCGAGCAAGCAGGTAGTAATGCTAGACGCTTCATGTGTCGTCGTGTTATCTTGCGAGACACGATCGCGATAAATGCTAGAAAATGTAAAAAAAACGCGATTATTTTTTACAATCAGAGATAAGTCCGCAAGATTAATTATCGCTTCGCAATATAATAGATAAAGTAAGTAACGCGCGTGTGAGTAACGACACGTAGAGAGTATCGTACAAAGTGCCGCACAATTGTCGTGTTCTTCTTATTAGTGCGCGCGCGATTATAATTAAGCGTGTTTTCGCGAATGAGTATTGTGTAAGTGCTATTAAGGAGCAGAGGATGAACAAGAGAAAAGAAACAAGCTCAGGGAAGCACCAGGTAACGGCGGAGCAACCGTGATTACTTTCTAACAATGAGTACTTTCTAACAAAATTAATAATAATATTATTTATAAAATTAATTTTCCATTTCTTTCCGCAGTAATGTTTCATTTTATATTACCATAATGCACATAAAATATACTAGAAAAATTTTATTTTAAAATTCTTAAATTATATACATATAAATTATGTACATATATGTATATAAATATTGTTTAAAATTTTTATAAATATTTAAATATATATTATGAGCTCTAAAAGTTTAAATGTAAACAATTTTTTCGGGAACTTACGTATAGAGTTTTTTTATTACATATTTGTTTAAAAGATAAATTTTTAAAAATCCATTGCAACAGTTACTTTTTGAAAATTAATTTTTTATTATTTTAAATTATGGTTTTACATATAATTTAAATATGTATGTTTGTATTTTACAGATTAACATTATGTACAACTCCGCCGTTGCGTATTGTATCTCGCGTGAGTGTAAAATAATTTTCTATTTTAATCTCTCGAAGTAATGAATACGCCAATATCACATT